ACAGCAATTTATCTGCCCCATTTAGAAGGGTGCTATTCTCTAAATTTGGCCCAAAGCATCTACTATCCGTTTGAGAAAAATTCCCAAAATGCAGAACTGCAAATTATGCAGCCGAATTATAGCCAGCATGCTGGGCAAATTCAATTAAGTAAGCACATTATGGTTCAGTCTGTCATGTGAGGCTTAAAAAATAGATAGAATAAATCATGATTAAATTATCCATGAGTGAAATGTGCTGTACAAACACAGCTAGTGTTTTATTGTTATAAGACATCCCTTCCATTTCCTGACATGGCAAAGTACAAGTCAATGTACGAATTATCTAGTAATCCTGCCTTGAACAATTTTATACTTTTAAAGTAAATATTCACATGAATTGCTTATATCAATTCTTACCCCACCCCTTATTGACCAACCTCTCTATTAAGTTGACTTTCTCACCTATGTCACAGTAATGCCAACTATTTTTCTAATGTTGCCAGCTCATGTGCTGACAAGTTTCCATTTCTTTACGGCTGGCATAACACCAAGGAATTGAAGAGTATTTGCCACAAGGAAGTTGCATGTCTTACAACCATTCATTTAGTGACCAATCATAGTTACAACAGCACTGGAAAAAGTGATTTATGACCAGTTTTCACACTTACAACAATTGCAGCATCCTCATGGTCAAGTGATCAAAATCTGGGTGCTTGGCAATTGGCGTGTATTTATGAGAGTTGCAGTGTCCTGGAGTCAACAAGATCACCAGCTGTAAATTTTCCAGCCAGCTCCCCGCAAGCAAAGACAATAAGCGAAATCAGATTTGCTTAATGACCATGTTTCAATTAACAACTAGAGTGATTTGCCAAACCATGGCAAAAAAGACTGCAAAATGGAGCAAAACTCATGTAAAAGCTGCCTTGCTTAGCAACAGAAATGTTGAGCTCAATTATGATTGTAAGTCAAGGATTACCAGTAACTAATGAATTACCTAGGCCAGGGTTCCCCAACCCCGATTCGGTAGATTGCCACTGGACTGCAGCATGCCAGAAACCAGGCTGTGCAAACAAGCGAAGCCCCATCCACGGGATGCAGGCAGCAAACAAAATCATACCCCCCCTCCAGTCCGCGGACGTCTCACTCTCCACGGAACTGGTCCCTGGTGCCCAAAAGGTTGGGGATCACTGACTTAAGCCATTACCCGGGTAAAGTGCTATCCACCCTTTATGTCAGCATAAAATACACGCACAAAATTGGTGGTCTGGATCATCAGTTATAACCTGTCTCTGTTGTGCAGTCAGATTTGTGGATTTGTTGTTGCTTGTTTCTATAGGCATACTGCTTGTTTTCCTCTGCTTTACTGCTATTTCCTTTGGCAAATTAGCTAATGGGAAAGTATAGTATCTACAAATGTGGACAACTGCAGCACAAATGAGGCATAACTTCATTCTGCAATTTGGGATTCGCCTGAATGTCTGGAGATTGGTTTAGCCTGCCTTTCCTCCCAAACGTCATTGAGGTATCTCACATATTAAATACATGAGATGTGGAAATGGATAGACAATGGCTGCCAATTATAAATATGTGTGCCTTTACCATTTTAAAAATTAACTGAGTTAATTCTAATTCAAGCAGATGTGATTGAATACACTGAGGGAAACACAAGGAAAGAAATAGCTCTAAGAAAACAGATACAGACTCCCTGCTATTGTGTTGCTACTGGATCATGGAGAATTGGATAATCAAAACTGACTAGCCAATGGGCTTTCTTCACTTGGGAAAGTGATTGATGTTAAGAAATTTGTAATATAATTCAGGAAAGCCCAGTTAGACATTTCTTTTCAGGATGCAGCAAGAAGGAAGGACTACTGCAGCAATCCTAATGCAATTTCAGAGTTCTGCTAACAAGACACATTCCCTTTTGTTCCCTAAATAAAAAGAGAAGTTCTTTTCTTCTCCCCTATCTGGTTAGAAACTGAGCTATTTATAAAACTTGTTCCAATTACCTTTGCCTGTCATATAGGGACAGGGTAGGCATGATCTGGACCTTATCAACTAAAAAGGCCCATACTATGGGACCCAGAGCATGCCTTCTTTGTTGCCCTTCAATAAAATGTTAGTCAGAAGGTTTCTAATTTTTTTTATCATCCCCCTCTGCCTCCAAGGGTACTTGGCCTTGATCCTGCTGTCCTTTAGGGAAGCTTTAAAAAGTTAACTTTTCAAACAGGCAAAGATCAAGGCAATTTATCAATTTCTTTTTGGAATTAAAAAGAGTGGCAGGAACTACAATAATGCCATATATTAATACATCAATATATTGCTATTTAATATTAATACTATTAATATATTAACACAGTAATATCACCAGATGATTGGTTAGCTGCCTTGCAGGCACATTTTAAAATCAAACTCATACATCTACCTGCATGTTTTAGTGAGATTCCTCAATGTCTCCCCTCCCACTCCCTAGAAAAAAGTAACTTAAAAAATACACTGAATATAACTTGTGGCCTTGTGGAGAAACGGCGGCATTTAAGTCCGATAATAAATAATAAATAAACTTAACATATAAGCCCTCTTTCTCATTTGATGCTAGATTAGCTTTGTAACCTTTCTCTCCGTGAAAGTGAAGAAAGATCAAGATGATCCTTAGACAGTTAAATATTGTTTCAAAACTTATTACCTATGTATCTACTATGACATGTTACTTTTTATTGGTAACTGGTTTGGATTTCTGGTAATTTATTTGGTTAGATTAGAACACAAGGGTTTATGTTCTTCGCACGAAGATACTTTCTGCTTTTGCCTCTTGCAGCAAAATAAACAAGCTGACCATATAAACTTGCATTTGAAAGGTGTGTAACAGTGTCCTATTAGAGTGAAGATAAAGGAGCTTATTGATGTATAGGATTTACAAAAATGGGCTGTAAAATTTGCAACAATCACTAGATGGCAATAGAAATAATTGTTTACATTTGGTTTTGGCTTGCTTACTTTCTTGGAACGGATCATCCCACTTGTCACACAGATAGGATACATAGGCAAATAGAGGAAATAAGCAAACAATCTCAACCACTTCTTGGCAAGGGTGTTCCATACAACAGTAGCTGCAAACTCCAAAGAATCTGTGTAAAACTTTAATCTTTTTAGCACTAAAGATTGCTAAAGTTTGTAATAGATTTGGCAGCAGTTGGTCACTTTCCCTTCCCATTGAAACATGCTAACCTATCTAATGCATTAGGAAGGTTTGGAATTAGCAAAGCCATTCAGTAGGAAAGACCAAGCAGAAGGAAACAGTGATGACCTGTTTTCTATAGAAAACAGTTAATATTTTATTATTGATTTTCTAACAGAATTTCTCATTCAAACTTTCCCAAAGTGTAGAAATGCAGTTATGTAATATACATTCCCATTTAAGGTGGGGTTTGCTCAATTCTGAAGTTTGATTAATTCTGTCATTCTGGCTTGATTAGGAAGACCTATAGCATCTTTTTTCATTATTTTAAATTGGTCTGAATGAAGATACCCTGGATAGAAGACCTTTCCAGGTGTCAAACTTAGTGTACCTTTCTCAATCTTCCTTTCCCCCCACCCCGCCCCACCCCAGGACCTTCCAACAATTCTCAAATCTCGGGGAACCCTGCATAAAAAAGGACAGAAAGCACAAAAAAAGTTCACAATCCAATTCACTCCTAATCTAACCTCCACACGTATGACATCATTTTGAACCACAGTGAAGCAGCAGGCAAGTTGAGCACAAATATTTCTACCAGTGTGCACACCAGCACTATAGGAAATCCCAAGTTCAAAAAAAATATTTACTTGTTCAATCACTACGGTATCTTCACAGAACATAAATTGATTAAACTTGGCTTAATTCGTGCCAGGTTGTTCGGCATGACTGCGGAGAAACTACTATATCTGAGTTTTATTCAGGGACTTTTATCAAGGAATTTTACGGATGATTATAATTTTCCTTTGCTTTGTCACAGGAACAAATAAAATCTAAATCTAGCAAAGGCTCACGGGCATCTTCTTGGCTCCTTAGCATATTGTGTTTGCCTACCATATCAACGTTTTTATATTTCCAAATCCTACTAAAAAGAAGTAATTTTTTAAAAAACTATTTAACCTGGGCCAGTCACTCTTTTAGCCCAACTCACCTCACAGGGTTGTTGTTGTGAGGAAAACAGGAGGAAGATGTGTTAAATAAGTTCCCCAACTTGAGTTACAAGTAATCCTTGATTTATGTCCACAATTGACTCCAACATTTCTGTTAAGTGACACTTTTGTTAAGTGAATTTTACCCCTTTTATGACCTTTCTTGCTGCAGTTGTTAAGTGAATCACAGCAGTTAATAAATTAGTGACCCAGTTGTTAAGTGAATCTGTTTTCCCCATTGACTTTTATTTGTGGGACGGTCAAAAAAGGTGATCACATCACCTTGGGACACAACACCAGTCGTAAAAATGAACCAGTTTCCAGGCATCTGAATTTTAATCCCACCATCATGGGGATGCTGCAAGGGTCCTAACTGTGAAAAAACGGTCACGTCACATTTTTTTTAGTGCCGTTTTAACTTTGAAAGGTCACTTGTTGTAAGTCGAGGACTATCTATATTTGTGAAAATAATAAAGGCGGGAGATACCAAAAATGAGAGGCACAAACTGCCTTTCTAGTCTCTCGCTTAGGGGGAAAAAAAGCAGGCGATTACTGCAAGTGGCTTTATTTCTCTCTTCTCTTTCCCTGCAAGCGTTGACAGTAACCGCCCTTCCTCAAACACCGTCTGCAGCTCAGTGGAAAAGAGAAACCGGCCGGTTCTTCTGGATTTTAATAGCGAGGCTAAATGCGCCAAATATCCTCCTTTCCCTTTTAAAACTCTATCCCTCCGAGGGGCCTCTCCCTTCCCTCAACCGTTAGATGGCCGCGTTCAAATGCGCGGCATCCCCCCTCGCCCCCCCCCCCGCCAGCGATCCAATGTGGGCGAGGCCAGAGCGGAATTATTCGCATCTCCTTACGCTCGCTTACACACATCTTCTACGTCGTTGGATTTGAGCCTTTCCAACCAGGCCTCTACAGCCGCACGCGCGCTTCACCCTAGGACCCCTTTTAGGCTTCCAAGCCAAATGCCTGACCGAAGAGACCGGAAAGGGGTGCTTTTTTATTACCCTCCCGCGCTCGGACAGAAACGGGGACCATCCCTAAATAAGCGAAGGAGGCCGTCCGCTCCTGTTTTTACTTCTTCCCGCCTCGGAGGGTTGAGGAAGCGTTTTTTTTAAACAGGCATTCACGACGGCGGGGCGGAGGCCCCCGGCGCGAGAAACGCGGGCGAAAGAAGGGGTCCTGGAAGCGAGTCAAAACGCGCCAAGTTTCTCGGTGCGGGGGGGCGACCGAGTTTGGACTAATCCAAATATCGGTGACCTCCGTCTCTCTCTCTTTCTCTCTGTGTTCCCCCTCCCCCCCCGCACGTTTTACCCTTTTGGGAGCGCGCAGAACGGCAAGATGTAGCGGGTGAGGAAATGCGGCCGCGGCCAGATCAGCGAACGAGGAAGCGCGGGAGTTAGTGCCGCCGGCCGGGCAGAAACCCGGCCTGGGGCTATGTAAAGCGCCAATCCTTGAGGACTAGAAACTTGAGGACCCTCCCCGGGTTGAGCCGCAGCGGCTTATAATAGCCCTGAGGGGGAGAGAGAAAAAAAGAACAACTCCGCTTTCGGAAGACGTTCGGGCTAAAGCTGAGGGGATCGCTTCTCCCACCAGATGGGGAGAGCGGCGGGGTGGTCATCCTTGGAAAGGATGCGGTGGGGATCCGTTAGCCGGGGTAGTCGTGAGGGGAAGCCCTGCCGAAGACGGAAGGGGTTGACTTTCGGGTTTGCGCCCTGTTCGTTGGCGGGAACGGGGTAGAGTCCGGCTGTGGCGGCAAAATTGCCCCGTTGGTGGGTTGGGAGCAATTATTACACGATGCGATGCGAAACTCGTGTCAAAGAGCTCCGTGAGGTGATTTCTCCCTCCCCTCCCAAAAAAAGTACGGCCCGATTAACGGCTATAAAATGTCCTAACGATATAAAATGTGAGGACTCGAACTCCCACAAATGCCCCTTAAGCCAGAAGTGGCTTCTTTCTGCCCGCCTTTTAGGAACTGCTTTTTTCAAAAAAAAATTATATATTTCCAGGGAACATCTAAAAGCGCCCTTGAAAAGTTAACTTGCTTGCTATATATCCTTTCACGCAGAAGATACTTTTTTGGTCCCGTTTCACAAAGTCAAAAAAAGCCATCTTGATCTATGGCGCAAAATTGGTTAAAAGTGCAGCTGCTACCGTATGATCAGCCCGATTCGTTGGGGCCCGGTTGTCCTTTCGACTATAATGTCCCTGTGCCGGGGTATCGCTTAACAAAACGCAACCGTCTTTTGTGTGCTTCAACAGGAGTAACTAAGCTGCAGGTTACGGTTCCCTTTCATGCCTTCCTCGACGTTTGGCTGAGGGAGGGGGAAAAAAAATGCCTGGCGTGCTGCCCAGTGACAGCCACGGACTTTCAAGAGATCCGTCAGCCACAACAAAAAGCAGGCTGTCGTTGAAGTTTTTCCAGAAAAGGGAAACAAAACGAGCGCTGGATTTTGTAGAATCGGCGGAAAATGAACAAAAGGCTTCAGAATATGAGTCTTCTGAAATGTAAGCCTTTTCAGTTTGTAACAATAGAGCAAAAAAGTTGGAAAACATTAAAAAAAAAAAAAGTTACTCCGTTGCATACTTAAATCACAGTAAAAGATTCTACTGCAGATTTTAAGCATACAAATGTAGGTTTTTCCGGTCTGGTCCAGTGTCTTGGGACAGGGGCAATCAATTTTTGACATCATGCAAGAAGGGGTTGGAGCAGGACAGTGTGTCATTTATGAAAAATATGTTACACTAAGCTGGTATTTTTGGATTTCTTGAAAGATATTAGCTTCTTGAATATTTCCCTTACAGTAGGATAGATAATTCATGGTCCCAGTGTTGCCTTTTTATGGCTTCCAAAGGCTCCCTGACCTCAGCTGCTATAAACATAGACAGTTTTCCTGGTGTTTTGAGGTGAGAAGTACTAAAAAAACCCAGTGGAAGACCTAAATATGCTCAGCACATGCAAATCCCAAGAAAATTCCATTCATATCTTTAAATTTTTACTCCATCCAGTTTTCATCATCATCCATTCAATGTAGCCCTTGATCACCTAATAAATGTTAAATTCAGCCCTGGGCCTCCAATAGATTACCTATCTGATTTATGCAAATAAGCTTTTCCTTTTTTAGGTTTTTGTTAGTTTAGATATAAAAAATGCCTTACTTCAAAAACTAGTTTGTAGTGTGTTATAAATAATGTTAATAAAGAATACAATCTGTTGAGTTGATTTTGTAAATATGAAAATTGTATGTTTTTAAAATCATAATTGCTGTACTGTAACTGTACCTTGAATACAACTCATAATTGTTTAGAATCTAAATTCATGTAAGTGTTGTAAACCTCCATGTAGTTATTTGGGCAATTCATTAAAGTCTGTGTGTCTTCTGGAATGTTATATGTAGGATAGTATTATTAAAATGCATGCTATATTTTTCATACGTATTTTGAAATTGATTTTTTTTTTTTTTTGTATATACTAGTGATCAAATAGTTCCTGCAGCACAACCTCTTTCACCTGCCTGTTGTGATAAAAAAGACAACATGCTACCTTTTGTGGGCTTGAACAATCTTGGAAACACTTGTTATCTTAACAGTATACTTCAGGTAAATTTTTGGTTTTAGAAATTTAATGTTTTTGTTTTTGTACCTTATTGGATGAAGCAGGTTGTTTTTAAAAAGCACACATGAAGCAAATGTTTCTGTATTTTTATTTAATCTTTGTTTTCTTGTCAACATCCTTTGTCATGATAAGATACTGATAAGCTGTCTTTTTAAAGTAACTTTAGAGATTGATTTTTACCCAGAAAAAATGTTTTGTAATGTTAATTTTATATCCTATTTTAAATACATTTAGCTATTTCAAAGTTTAATGTGCTTTATCTCTTACAGGTAGAAATATTAAAACAATTATAATGCAAACTGAATATTTCCCATGCTGATCATCCATACTTTGCATATAAATACTTTCTGGGATGTTCTCATTCAAACTTTTTTTATAACCACAATTACTGTTCTTTTCCTTCTGCCCAAAGTACTCATTCACTTTTTACTAACTCTAAATTCTCCTCTTCTAATGTCTCACTCCCTCTCTTAGCTTAGATGTCTGACCTCTAAATACCAAACCCACAGTTGGCCTTGTTAGGCTTAACTGTCTTCTCTGTTTCACAGAGGAGGAACTTGACATATTAAACATAGATAATAAATTCTGCAATTCCTTTCCCCCAATATAAATGTGAAGAGGCCAAAACCCTCATACACATTAGAGAACACATAGCACAATTTTAAAGAAAACTAAAAGATTACCCAATAAAATCACCATACTAAAAACAAATAAAGCATACTCAGTTTAAGAAACCCCTAAATAAATATCAAACAAAAAACACCTCTCCTTCCCAAATATGCAGACATAGGCATAACCTCCTCAGATTTGAAATCAAAACCCCATCGCTCCAAAACATAAAAAAAGCATTTTCTGCTTCTTGGTTGGATATGACTTTCCTGTACTTGCATGAAAAGGATGGGATCTCTTGCTATACAAATAATTATACATGTACTATCGTGTCTGTTTTTTTTAAATAAGTAGCTGATCACACATATTTCTTCACTGTCATAATAAAGTTCAGTAACATAATGAAGGTATGTCATCAGAGACATATATGTAATGGTAATGTCAGTTTACACCTGGTAATTGTGAGTTTAAATACAATTTCTGGCCCAAGTAAAATGTTTTAACTAAACTAAATTAACTAAAACATGTATATTACATTTGAACATTTATTTTTCGTATAATGTATTATTATTTTTTTTATTCTAATTTTAGGTGCTCTATTTTTGTCCTGGCTTTAAAACAGGAGTGAAACAATTGTTTAATACAATTTCAAAAAGGAAGGAAAGTTTAAAGGATGAAATAGATAAGGTGAGATTTACTGCCCACTATTACATATATCATAAGCTGCCTTTAGAGAATTCAGAATGATGTGGTAACAGTTTTATTTTTTTAGAAGGAGTTTATTATCAGGATAATTTGTCATATATCCTGATGCAATAATATGCAGGTTCTTGGTGGCTCACCTCATGAGAAAACAATGCATAACCATAAAAATTAATTGAATTGAAAACCATACATACTGGCATCAGTCCCCAAATGAAAAATTGTGTTCAGAAGCTTCTGGAAGGTAGTAAGGTTGCAGCCAAATACATATTTTTGCAAGAGACCATTCCAGAGGTTTAGTCTGACATGTTCACTCCTCTCTCATCCAGAAAATGGTGGACAGCCAGTTGCTTCTCCTGGCAGGATCAAAGTGGCTGGGCTGACTCTAGATACAGGCCTGCAGGTAGCCCTGCTTATATAAACATGCATTTAACATTGGTTGAAAAGCCGATTCACTCCACTTTTTAAATATCTCCCCACTCCTCAGAGATTCATGTCTTAAATCTTCTGTACTGTATTCTTTGTGCAATAAAGTAACTTTTGGTTGCATGAATGTTACAGTAACAAAGTTACAACTACATGTCTATGATACAAAAAAGGCCATATTGTCAAATAACAAAAAAAAAAATTGTAAAGCAAACAATTTTCTGTCTTTATAGGAAACTACTAAAGAACATTCTTTTGGAAGTTATGAATTGGTATGCAGCTTACACACTTTGATTGTTTCAGTTGAACAGCTTCAGGCAAGCTTTCTCTTAAATCCAGATAAATACACAGATGAACTTGCTACTCAACCAAGAAGACTGCTAAATACACTTAGGTAAATGATGTTTTTACAATGTTTCAAATATAAGAAGCTGCCTATTCTTATTATTTGTATTAGGACATATAGTCTTTATTATTTATATTAAGGGTATAGAAAATCTGGCAAATTATTAGTTTTAATAATTAGTTTTAATTAATGTAGCTCAATAATAATCAGTTTACAGTTTGCTCTTTGTGATCTCAATGTT